TGTTTAAATACATGCACATGGCAAAAAGTTAAAAAGTGATTAACGTAGTTAATGTACATGTTAATGAATGCACGTTAATCGCTATTTCATTTCATTATGTAAGTAATTCTGGAATGTGAAAAAGAAAAAAATAAAAACTTTCCTTTTTTCAATCATGTATGTACATACAAACATATTGCAATATATATTAAACTCTACATATATTATTATAATATATATTAAACTCATATATTTTTGTCGTATTAAACTCTGATGGCACTTATAATAATCAAATTTTACGAATTTCAGTGCAACTATAAAATGTCTTCATATATAAAAGCCACATATACTATACTATATAGCGAGATACACGCACAGAGGTCCATTAAACTATCATTATCTTTAACTTTGTCATCCTATATAATTGAGCAATTTCCTTCTTCCGAAGCGGAGAGACGTCAATGCGACACGTTGATGACAGCGTTATTAAATTTCTGCAAACAATGATTTATAAATGCTGCCTATCTGCGCGTCTATTTGTGGCAGATAAATCAGGACAAGATAAAGCATCCGTTTGTCAGACGAATGATTCTAGGAAAGCATGGAGGAAAACACGGCAACGGCGGCGTCACCAGATGATTTTTCCTCGTTGTTTGCGGATCATTGTGTCTCATCACACAGATGTGTCCGCGAAATTTCGAGGACGCGACGCGCGAGGAGAGATGAAGGTAGACCGGGAGTGCGCCGGCGGCGCCGAGGAGGTTATGTAAAGAACTCGGAAGATGGTAACGTGTGCGCCGATGATACCTTGACACTGTCAAATGGGTACATGACGCAATGCTCCATAATCCCGGCGACAGCACCGGCCGTCATGTGCACGGCCACGGAGTTGGTCGGAAGGCTTTCGTAGTCGTCTACATTCATGATCGCGGCGGACAGGTGCTTGCTCGTTAGCTCGTGAGTGCGCCTCAGATCCGCCGCCACGATGTCGCGTAACCTATCCTCGCTCTCTTTTTCTTCTTCCTTCTGTCTCACACACACACATATACTCTCTTTCTCTCTCTCTTTCTCTCTCGTTTTCTCTCTCTGCTTCACGTATTGCTGGCCGACACAAGTTTACGATCCGACGTTAAAGTTCGATTCTCGAATATCGCCACGAGGACGACGTAACGGTATTACGTAGCAGTACGTCGCGAAAACAAACCGTACACCGGACGAATCGCGGCGGGACGGGCGTTACACGCGCGCCGACATGTGACCGCGTGCGTCGATCGTTTCTTAATGGTACTGCGAAGTATTACGGGGAGCAAAGGAGGCTCTGTGGAAGGCTATCCATTTCCTGCCCCCGACTCTCCGCGCATGGGGTCTTCCCCCTTCCTCTATGCTCTGATCGCTTCGTTCGTTCGTTTAATCAACCAACTGACTCGTTCTACGAGATCGAGGATCGAGTCGCGAAATGACTGAAAAAATTCACAAGCATAAATCTCGCAAGGTGGCAATCCCGATCGCGGCGAAGACGGCGCGAGATTTGGCAAGGTTAGATCCGAGCGCACGTGCCGCGCATGCGTCGTGCGCGACCACGTGGTCCATGCGTGCCGTCCTATGCTGTCCGCGACTCCGCGTTTCAAAGCGGTTCCTCAATTTTAAGCGGAATACCGAATGAGCGTGCATATAGAATTGATGCCGTCAATAACGGCGATAATTTCCCGGATAAGAGAAGGAGGAACGGCAGCATCAAATCGTCGCGATGCACGATGCAATTTCGCCCATACAATTTCGACTGTCTCGCGTCCCGCCGCGGATTCGTTGATCGTTTCAATGCACTTTCTCCACAGTGACTCGCCGAAACTCTCCGCCACGTGTAAATATAAAAATGACTCATCATTAAGTCTCGTCATTAAGACTGATTAATAATAAAGGAGTTTGAGTGATCTTTCGATTGATTTTCACAATTTGTGCGATCATGTTATTTTGTGTGACATGGTAAAGTCGTGTAAATTTCTTCTTGATTCCGTGTAATAAAAGAATTACACTTTATAGCTTTTTTTCGACGTATCGGACAATATAGAGGCGAAAATGTTTTTATTTTATTCTGTCGTCGCACAAAAATTAAAATACATTAAACTAAATTAATAATCGAATCTCATAATTAACAATTATTATAAGAAATAAATTGAATATTCGTCAAAAATAAAAAACGGTTATCTAAAAAAGTGCAGAAAGTACAGCTAAGCAGATCTCCTTCCAGGAAAATTCTGTTCATTTATGCATACATATATGTACTATTGTTGAATGTATAAAAAAGCAAGAGGTTCGTATTAGAGCGCATCTTGTCGTTTTTGAAATTGAAATATTCTCATGTTATGCAAAAAAATATGCGGGTCACCGTCAGCTCTTAGAATGACCACAATATTTATAAAATATTTATAAAATATTTATAAGATTTATAAGATTTATTTTAAATATTTTGTAAATATTTTTATAGTCTTAAATTGCGCAGATCATAAACATTTATTATTGTATTTATTTATTTTAAATGTTATAGTAAATGTTACAAAAATATTTAATGAGACATAATCCAAGTAAAAAAAGTAAAGTACTTATTAGAAATATTATATTTATTTATACTTATCATAAATATATTATATAAAATATTTA